AGTCAGAGTAAGTTTTGTTGAGTTTGCCAGGAAAGTAGCGCGGATGTAGTTGTAGGCAGATTTTTTTGACAGATATGAAAGAAGTATCAATCTTCAACTCTTAAGCCTAAATTATTCATTAGGTGGCCAAACAACTCCAAATTAAGTTACTTTATATCTGTTGGGTGTGTAAATTGTTGCCAGTGCTTTCACTGCTATTTAAATCCTGAGTACTGTTGATTTGGAAACTGTCATGCACCAGGGCGAGAGATTCACCAAGCTGCTATTATTCTTACTCTGGCATGAATAACTGAATAACTCAACCAAATCTCTCACATACACAACTGCTGATGCCAATTCTATTCCCTCTGTTCACAAAGCTGATTGAGGAGATTCAGTTTCAAACTTCCCCCTGCTGTTGTGCAGAGCTCATGCTGAAGGGAATCCTGCTGCTAGAGTGTTGTTATAGGTTATTTTCATCAGTTCCTCCATCCTGTTTCTGTTTATTAATAAATTAGAAGACAAACAGTAGCTACCAAGTCTCTTTGGTGGGACTATTTGTCAACAGCAAATGAGTATCAGAGTTCAGAATCCACACTGCAGCGTAAAAGCTACGCTCGCCTTGAAAGAACTTTGATTAAATTTTTTTTAAATATTTGTTCAAATATGTTAATTTGTAGTCAGTACAAAAGTGTGTGGTTGAACTGAGAAGATATGAGCCAAAATATCATGTCAGGCCACATACTCAAAAGACAAAATAGTCGCAAACACAAACAGCTAAACCTTTAAAATTAACGCATTTAGTGGCACTACGGCAGCAAAGTTCCACTCTTTTGGTTGGTAATCTAATAGTTTTTTGGTAATCTGGTCATGTACTTTATAGTACAAGCATAAATCCGTATCATCATGTTAAACCCAAACATATTCATTTTTTAAGTTTCAACCCATCCAACCCCCAACTACACTGGTTACCTATGGAAAGTTATAATATAAGAGGTTTCAATAGAGATTCTTATTTGAAAGCTTTCCACCCTATGAAGTAGAAACATCTGGATGAAATATTGCAAACTGAATTAATTTTTGAAGCTTTCTGATTCGCAAATGGTCAAATTTGAATGTTGCATAATACAATATTAGCTGCCTTCTTTCTTGTAGCACCTAAATGTAATAAACTGTCTTGACAAAATAATCTTTTTTAAATGTTGTTGGAGGCTCTCACAGAGCTTGTGCTTTCGGAAGTGGTTAGTTGTCTTGAGTGTATGTGGGGTATTTTGTTTAGCTGATTTCTGCCACGCAGGAGCTTTGTAGTCAAGATGTACTTGGGTTGGATGTTATAAGATGTTATTTTTGGACTCTCTCCATGGGACGGCAGAAATAAAATGCAAGAGGGGACCTGTGGCAACCAGAGGGCTGTTAGCCAAGTTTTAAAGAGTGCAATTTTTAGAGTGCACTCTTATTTTCCATAATATTTGATTTGATGTATTGATTTGTAGACACAAAGGACATATTTTCTTTGTGCTCTGACTGCTTGGAGCATCTAAAAAATCTTGAGAAATGATTTTCTGTCTGTGTGTGTGTCTCTACAATTCTCTAATTACCTTTTGAAGAGAGGACAGGCAGTGAATTTAATGTCTTGAGATAACTACAGAAAAAGATGAGCCTATGGATTTGACTTTGTGACCTCTCACTAGATTGCTGATTCTTAGCTGTCTCTCAATACCTTCTAACAAAGCTTAGGGTGACTCCACTGTCACCTTCAGAGTCTTCTGCTAAAGGAGCTTGTCTGAGAAGTCCCTGTCATCTTTTAAAGTCTTGATGTTATTATGTGTTGGCTAAATCTTCAAATGTAGCAAGCATAGTTCAGTTTTACAAAGGTTTTCCATGGCGTTTTTGGGGGGGAAATGTAAATCAATAATTAGAGTGAAAGTGGAGACACCAAAAAGGAAAAGACTGATGCAGGATGATACATACACAGTATTTGAGGATTTTTTAAGTTAACCCAATCAAATTTACAAATAAAGGATTTGCTATCAGGCCATTATTCTCTGGTATTTTGCAGACTTTGGATCGTTTAAAAGGGCTTCTAACACCTTTTTAAGAGACCTCTTTGAAACTAGATTTTACCCTGAACCCTAAATGACAGGGTGTATCATGATTCCCAAAAGGAAGCCATAATAATTTCTATTCATGTGATCACAGTGCAGCTCATCTTTTACCTGTCTGAAAGGTTGGGCTATGCCATCAACATGTTTCATCAGCAGCTTGGTTTTTTTTTGGACTCAAATTACTTTTTTGGACAATGCACATTTGTTTCTTCTGTATTTAAACTGCATTGCATATTTTCTTAAACCTTTCTGAAAGCATTTTCATTTGTTAGTTTGCATTTTTTGGTGCAAGCTAACATTTTTAACAAATGCTTTCAAAAAGTGATGGGGGCAAAGTCAGCTATTTCAAAATGTGGTGGGAACATGTCCCCAGTGTCTCCTGTGTAAATGACACCTATGCTAATAAACAAGATGTAAAAGCTTTAGAGGTACTTATAGTTTTTGCTACCTTTGGACTCTATAGCAAGGTTAGCTTTTTCCCCTTAATTTCAGTTTTTACTCTAAAAAGTTTTAACTCTTGATAATAAGAGTTAGATCAGAAGTCTTGTCGGGGTGAATCAACATAAAAACCAAATCATAGTACACCGAATATAAAATTAGACCAGAATCTACTCAAATGCTGATTCTAACTATATTATGTAGGACAAACAAACTAGGTGAAATAATCTCATCATCACAAATACTCCACCTCAAAACATCCTTCCGAACAGGGAAGTCTCTATATTTAGCATGCTAACTTGGTAACAGTCTTTGTCCTGCAAGGCGTCTGTCAAACTGATTCTCTGCTTTGTAAATGTGGCACTTCAAAGGGAGATACACCTTCCTGTGCAGCAGCATGTTTAGCTCTGGTCATCCGTCTGCTGCAGTAAAGATGAGCTGCAGTGTGCAAGAGTTAGGATCAGAGAACAGGGAGGGGAGAGAAAGTGAATGAATATGGATACGCTTCTGTAATGAAGAGCATCATTGGGATACCTCTCTTCAGATGTTCTGTTTTTATTTCTTAACTTCTTTACCTTAAAAATTTTAACGTATGTCACAAGTACTGCAATTGATTTGACAGATTTTTTGTCGTATTCAGTTTCCACAAATGGCTTATATTATCCTGCTTACCTCTGTCACTAATAATCAGCTCCAGTCATTTAAAACAACATTCAGTTGTTTGTGAGCACATATTCTTCTTGGCAATTGACTGGCAAATGTTGAGTCTAACAAATGATGGGGTATTATTATTGGCCTGATAATGAACTAGAGCAGTCGCCAACCTTTTCCAGGCATACATGATGTTTCATGTCTAATGCTTGATTTATACTCCTGCGTAGGGTCTACGTGCATAGCTATGCCGTAGGCTACACACGTAGCAATTTATACTTGTTCGTCGGTGTCTCCGTCATTCTGCAGTTACACCCCCAAACAGTAGTTGGCGGTAGTTTGCGTTAGCGCTACAGCGTCCACTGTGTTGACTTTTGCCGGCCGAGCAGGCTAACTTCCACTTTAGCCCTCCGCTGAATAGGGGGTAAAATTGTATACATGCGGCTGGTATAGCCTTTTCAAATGTTATCAACTGAATGGATCACATTCTGATAGCGAAAAGGTTAACTTCCTGTCGGCTCAGAGGCATTGCGAGGCTACCATAGGCTACCCAGGTGACCAATCACAGTTCAGTCCACGTCGCCTCAACACGTAGTAACATGTTTGAGGAGATGCACGTCAGGCTATGGCGTAGGTGACGGCGTGGTTTAGGGGGTTACGCAGAGGTTACACCGTCGATTCAACACAGAAGTATAAATTGCACTTAAGCCCTACCCAAAAAATGTTAAGAAATGTTAGCCCACAGGGATATTTACATTGCTTGTTTTTTTGTGCTGTAGTACATTTGACAATTATATTTACGTGGGAAATTGAGGCACAGTTAAGGCACGGCAAAGTGAAGGCCCCTCATCTCGTACCTTCAAATGTGAAAGACAGAACAAGACTAAGGGTCTACAGCTATGCTAGCTGATCTGGGAGTCTATACTTATTAGCTAAAAGCTAATAGTGATGCTTAGCTGTTATAACGTTAACTATTTTCAGCATCTCAGTTTAGCTAACATTTGCAAATTACAGCTAAAAACATAGTACAGTTGTGACTGAAAAATAGTTTTGCATTTTGGTATTTGGTCATGAAGTATTGGACAAATTCAAGTTCAACCATGAGTGGCGCATACATGTTTTTTCTGAATTTCATGGCAATATATCCAATAGCTCTTGAGCCATTTTGCTAAAAAAAATCACAAATGTCTACCTCATGGAGGCATTAGAGGAAAAGTCAGTAGGTGCGTTCGAGATGACTGCGGCTTACTTTCTTTGAAACGTGAACTGCAGGCGTGCAGTTGCCTGCAGTTCACATTTCATTATCAAGTCGGTATAAAAAGCGCGCTGTCAAGTCGGACACATTCTACCTGCATGAGCTTACTGTGAGCTTAGAACAGTGGCAAAAGGTGGTTCCAACCTTGTGCAGCGGTAGAAAAGCAATCGCGGTCGCCGGATACAGCAACTGCAGCCGCCTTGTTCCCACAAGGTTTTAATGCCATGGGATAATTTTGGACTCAAAGATTGACATGTTGATCATGATCACGTCTCTGCCATTATTTTTCCTTTGCAAATCTATATGAGGGTATTAGCTAGCATTCCGCTGGGACGTGGGCAACAAGTCCATCATAGATAAACATGATATCCATGATCACAACAACCACATGAGGGAAGATGGAAAGGTTGGACAGGTCCACAGAGAGAAGCCGTGATTTTATTTGTGTATCAAAAGATGTAAAGTTAGAAATGAATAAATATAAATATATTGAATATATTTAACATGTGAAACTTAGTTGTCACATGTCACTCTGATGAAAAATAACTTTTATATATTTTGTTTCTTTACAGTCAATGCCTGGATGATAAGAGGGTTATCAGGTAAGCATATCCATCCATCCATCCATCCATCCATATATAATACAAAATAAGATGAAACTGTATCAGTTTCTGCGGACAACTGTCATAGCAGAAGAAAAATAAGATTGTGGAAATGAGACATATTGAAATTTCCACTGTTCCAAGAATGTAGCGCTTAAAGATGAAACTCATGATGGACAGTATGAAAAGTATAAATTACAGATTTATGACAGAACATAATGAAAATAAGCATTAAAAAATACATGCAATACAGCTCATAAATAAAACAAGAGTCAAACGACCACGAACATCCATCTTTGTCATATTTCATTTCAGTTATTATGTCAGAATTAACACACACAAAGCAGGGTACATGACCTGTAAATGCTGTGTTCTCTTCTTCTTTCTGTCCTCTCAGCCACTGACAGTTTTAACATTGAGCCCACTCCCCCCTGGCCAAGGAAACCCTGTAATGAGTCTCGTCTGCAGTGGGAGGTGGAGGTCTGTGGAGAGGACTTCAAGCGGGACATGGGTCACATAGATCCACAGTACTGGTGTAACCTCACACACTTCATCAGGTACGACCATATGTAGTGGTTCATCATCATATATATACAGTATTTAGTTTAGCTGCCAACAAACTATACAACATAACATAGTATTTTAAGCATGTGCCTGGATTAATCAAATAATGAAACATAATTTATATTTTAACCTTACATTTACAAAAGAAAGAGAAAAATAAGTCTAAACCAAGTCAGTCTAAAAAAAGGTGTAAATGTTAATGATCCATGTGGAAATAGAACAGGAGTGGGAAATGGGAAAATACAAGTCTGCATTGCATTTGACCATATTGCATGATTTTCTTTAAAAACTAGAGGTTGTGTATAATATTATGAGAATATATTGTTGGTCTGAAGTGTCCTATGATCAAAATTCTATTGACATTTTGAGCCATGTCGCAAATGTAAAATACGTTGAACAAGCATTCAATGGGTGGAGCTCCAGATGAAAAAAAAAAGTCGGAGGTTCTCTTGTTCTCAGTTTTGAGATGCTCCCTTACTTTAGCTTGTTTTCTGTCAAGTCATGCAAGGTGCAGGCTTCACTACTGGATGATGAGGTAAACATAACATCTGTGTCAAGCCTTTATGTTGCACTGCAAAACACATCTGGTGAAAATTGATGAAACAGGGGATAAACATACTGAATATTAAAGATAAAACTATTTACACCTGTGTGATTTTAGCATATAGCTCATTTGTTTGGATTTTGGAAATTTGCATTGTGGAAAGTCATGCTGCTTCGGCTGTTATCAGTTCCTGTTTGCACTGCATAGACAATTGACACCTTGTTTACTGTTGATAGTGCAGAAAAAGTTGTGAAGCTCTGAAGCATTTTTTTTTCTGATTTCAAAAAGGACATGTATCTTCAGAGAGGCTACTCCCACTGTAAAGACTCAGCAGCAGTGTTTGTATTGTCTGTGCGTTTGCTATTCGACTGCATTATGATGATGAAATAAGTGGTGTAACCTTTGTGGCAAAATGAGTTAGTCGATGAGAATTTAGTGAGTTGATGGTGGTGGGTATCTGATCGGATCGAATGATCTGTTCGTATCAGAAAAAAATGTCTTCATATTCATTTAAATCCCTACTGCATCCTGCATAGCTTTCCATTTGTCTGCACACATGTAGCGACGTTTAGTTGTAGCTGCATTTTGAGGCATTAATCACTGCCTAACCTGATTTGATATATTCCCAAGATGGATTATAAGCAGCAACATACACTCCTATGCCTTCTTCATGTTCTAAAGGAGATTTCACTGGGTAAATAACTGCACCTGTTTGTTTGTTTGTTTCTTGAAATAGGTTATGGTGTTCTTTGCAATAATCCTAATTATTCAGACTCCAAAATTGTCCTGCAACAGAGAAAAGCATTTCTTCCCCTTAAGAGAGAGCCTGTAAATTCTGCCTGCTGGCCCAAAATTAAATACTGATCTTAAGAACAGTAGAGAATTTCCCTCTACACACAGGATGTGACAAATATTACGAAAATTTTCTCCTTACATTAGTTGCCTGGTGCAGCTTCAATTTGACAGTGATGGAACAGCAAATGTGATATCAGGAAACTACACTCGAAGCAGCTTTTTACGAGTTCCTACAAAGCAAAATTGTCATTTTGTATAACAACCAGAAGAAAACATCTGGACACTGAAATGCCATGCATATTTTAAGCTCTCATCATTATCTCTCCTCTTTTGTCAAGTACTGTTGTCTTCCTGTCTGAGTGCTCTATATTTGTAGTTTTATTTAAGGGGTTGTCAAACCCGATATCACTTTCAAAAATACACTTGGATTGATGGAAAGATTGTAATCCATCACAGCCTGCTGCAGCTGGTTAGATGTCTGTGGGTGGGAGAACAGTCGGAGGTTTGCTTTTCAAAACGAGAGTTGTTTTCAAGAAACATCTGAGCCCTGACCACCCATCTATATCTATCTTCATCCTGATTTTCACCTAATTCCTTCCTCTCACCTTTGACCTCCCATGTTTTTTCTTTTAACTGCAGAGCCCCAAGAGGAGGGGTAAAGAGCCATGAGACTGGTTTCTTGGCAATAGCATACATATGGGAGATTAAAATAAACGTCAAAATAGTCATCTGAGTCACAGATTTGCGGGAAAAATTCAAACATTCTGGGAAGAAGAACCATCCAGAAGTCACGCAATCTCTCTGTTTTTCTTCTTTACTATGATTTCTTTCCCTTCTGTCAGAGCTTCATGCTGCTTTCCAGCAACACAGGATTTTATACAGCGACAGTTACTCACAATCATACACTGGTTTACTTCCGTGATTACAAATGAAAGGAAAAAATGAAATGTGAGATAAAGGTGTGCTTTGAGATAAAAATAACAAGAGTAACCATGTCAGCCACACCTGCAGCACATGAAGCCAAATGGTTGACTATAGGTATTATGATCAGGGTAAACATCTGGGAGGCCACTTAGCAACTTTTAGATAATAATCGGCTGCCATTTGTTGGTCTGGCGGTCAGCGGTGGGACCAAGTCTTTGTTTAGCAGGTCACAATCAAGACTGGAGTCTACAGTTGTAGATTGACAGAAACTATAACTGGACACCAAATAACAAAACTGTAGTGCAGCTGTGATTTTTTACCAAAGCAAACCAAATGCCACAGCTAACAAAGTAAAAGCTGCTATACTCAATATTTCTATTAACAGTGGCTCACAGTACTACTTCTTTGTAAAAGGAGTTGCTTATAATGACAAAACCACAGACAATTATGGAGCATTTTAGAGTCTTCCAGCTCATTGTTTTAGTTGTCTGACGCGAAACTTTACTGGTTCGGTTCACTCTCACTGCTCATAGACGGACAAAGTTAGTGACTAGCTGGTGAAAATTGTAAAACATTAATGGAGCTGGTGGAGACCAAAAACAGAGCCAAAAAGAGAGTAATTTTACATTTGACAGGTGGTCATAAGTATGACTCTCTAACAACTCTGCTACATCAATCTAAAGTGTAAAAACTGTCTGTGTTTAAACTGTTTACATTGCCCCCAAGTGGTCAAAATATCAGTTTGATGCAAGTTTACTAAGTAAATAAATTTAATACGAGTGAACATTTTGTGGGATAAGAGGTATTTTCTTAAACTGTGTCAGTGCCAGTTCTCATCCTATTTTCAGCCATCTCTTTCTTTTCTCTCAGTTCTCCTTTCTCTTAATAGAGTATAGAATAAAATAAAGCTTTCATTCAGAAACATCAAAACAAGCAACTGATTTTCAAGGAGACCTATACAATTTAAAAACTGGCTTGAATTTCTGCTGTGTGATACAACTTCAGACAGTTAAAGGTAGTTTTTTTTTTTAATTGTGTGTTTCTGAACAGGGGTACTATTGTTGTTCCGTACTGTCACAAACAGCATAGCACTCGACTGTCCTTCAAGCCTAAAAATAGTATAAAAAGTATTTTTTCGATCTCTTAAATGCTATTTTGGAAGTAGAGACTGGTCTAATCTCTCTTTTTTTCCACATTTTGTGCATATTCTGCTGTAGTATTAATGCTTACACACTTAAATGAAAGGGTATGGAGAGAGATTTTGAAGAGTCAGAACCGCCTTTAATCAAAATCTAATCTGTCAGTAGCCAAAATGTAGTTGGAAGCACAGCATGACCTACCTTTCCAGGAACCCAAATTATTCATTTGGGTTTTTTGTGTACGATACTTCATTTATAATACTGTGGATTATAAACTGACTTTTTTGGCAGCAGTTTACTTTGGAGCCTGGAGGAAGCTGATAAGAAGGAAAGAGAGAGAGAGAGAGAGAGAGAGAGAGAGAGAGAGGAACCAGAGAATGCGGAGAAGGATCGGGCTTGGAGAGCGAGGGGCCTCATGTTTAAACAAGCAGTGACCCCTGCAAAGCTTCCTCTATTTGATAAATGAGCCGTGCCTCTTTAGCTGCTGGCCAAAACTCAGCCAACATGACTGTTATTGTTTGAAATGAGCTTGTTGGAACACATATAAAGGGTATAAACAGACCACTAAGAGGCTCTGTGTGTATCAGTACGTGCATTTAGGCACTCCTCTCATTTATCTCTAATAACTATTGATTTTCTGCCCTGAGTAGTTTACAGCTCCAGGAGCAGCCAGCCTTAATGTTGAGTCCATAGGAACAGGGGAACAGTGGTGTTGGTCTATTTGGACCTTTAGTTGTCATTTGCTGCCACTAATGACAACTAAATTAGCGAGCATCATTCTAAGTGGGTATTGTTGTCCACACATCTGGCACAAGCCTATTAACAACAACTGTACGTCAGCTAGCAATGGAGGGAGAGGACAGTCAATGGTTAAAATCACTTGAGGACTGTCCCTTGATATTGTTATAGTATAATACGCTGCTTTGTGCAAAGATAAAGTAACAAATTGTCAAGTGTTTCAAGGTGTATTAATTTCATTTGTCTCATTTGCGTGATTTGACCAATGGATGGTTTGTGTTTTTTCAACACATTCTTACTCCCGACTCATCACAAATTGACGCTTGGTCAAGGCCCTTTGGCGTCGCCTTTTAACGACCTGGGTAGCCCTTTTGCGTCATTTATTGATGTTTAGGTCTCCAAGTTAGCAATGCTTAGCTTAACAATAAATATGCAGCGTCCGGTTAGACTTTCAAAATAAAATGCTAGCGTTTTCGAAACATCGCCATTTTGAAACGGCGCGTTATTAAAGTCGTGAAAGCCTCTGGCTGATAACTCACCAAGAACTCCAGTTCATTCTGATTTTTCACTCCAGTCTCTCTATTTCTTCCTCTCTTCTCCATATGTTTATGAAGCAGATTAATAAAGCCCTGCGATATGTGAACATCTTTTGTTTAAGATGAAACATTAACTGTCCAGTTTCCAGCCACCTGTTTTTATGCATGTTTTCCATTTGTGCATAAAAATGCTGAATAGAATTGTCATAAATTTGCTAATATTGAACAATCTAAATATTGCAAAAAAGGTTTTATGTTTGGCTGAAAACATAATTAGGTGCTATATAGGAACACTTAGAATAACTATAAAGAACAAAAAAACATCTAAATTTATTAGTTAGCAGGGTCATCAGTATATCAGAAGATAAACAATTTATTTATTTTAGAATTGCCAATAACTAGAAGCAGCATTGCATTTTATACTCGTGTCTTAATGTTTCTGTTCGATAGATGCATACAGTTGATGTCAGCAGTAGGGCTGTCCCCGACTGGATTTACATAGTCGAATCAGTATTGTCGAGTCGACTGATCGAATCATGTGTCACTGTGTTTGTGTGCGGCGATTGCGAGCGGGGGGAGGACACATGGTAGCTCTGCTTTAATCTTGACAAGCTGCAGAGCTGTAGTCACTGTATTAGTCACTGTATCTTAAATTGTACATTTCCAGCTAAACTGAGTCTTTTTGTTGACCCTTTTCTCTCTGCTCGCCTTATTCACGTACTTTAAACATTTATTAAAAACTTTTTTCTTTTGTCATTTTTTTATTTACAGCATTAAACATTGAAATGTATATTGTAATAGGCAGTATATTAACTTATTGTGAGAAAACTGGTAGTTTTATGTAAAATCAGATGTTGAGCACCACCATATTGCCAAAATTGCATGATCCTCGTTTGGCTGCGAAGCTTCGACTGTGAGATTTACTGTTGAATCAGGCTCCGCCCATCGAAGCATCAATTCGGGGTCAACCCTAGTCAGCAGTATTCAAATTTCAACCAGTCATGGGATCCGTCTTCACTATAATGTGTAACTATGACCACATGTATAGGCAAAAGGTTAATAGCACTATTTCTAAATATGAAAGTGCTAATTAAAGAGATGTGGCGTGTCGTCTTGTCTTTCAGAGCTACAAACCCCCAAACATCAGTGTGGGTTTCACTGGGAGCTTTAACGTCTCAGGGGGAGTTATGGAATAACAGTGTGAGGGAAACATTATTTTGGCATTGTTTATTCCCAAGTTCTTAGTTCTCAGTCAGTATGTTCAGTCTGTAAATTGACTGGAAACGTATTCAAGCTATTTATTACCCCCACAGATGATTATTGTGTGGGGTGAGCTGCTGTGTATTACATCAGGGAAATAACTTCAAAAGTCTGTTATTCCCTACAGTCCTGCATACTGCATTTTGATCACTTCCGCCTAAAAGCTCTGATACATAGATGTTTTATTTATCTCTCTGTCCTTTTATTTTCTTTAGTTCCCAAACATCCCCTCTGAACACATATTTAACAGATTTGGTTTGTTCATGTGCATTGCAAACCCTTATTCAGATGACAGTTTGTTTTACTGAACATATAACTGACCTCTAAAGAAGGTTAAAGAGGTCATATTATGCTCATTTTCCAGTTCATCATCAATCTTATTTAGGGGTTGTACCAGAACAGGTTTACATGGTTTCATTTTCAAAAAACACCATATTTTTATCATACTGCACATTGCTGCAGCTCCTCTTTTAACCCTATGTGTTGAAGGCTTCGTTTTAGCTTTGAAGTGATACATCTTACCTCTAAATGATCTTTGTTGGGAGTTACGCATGACAGAGTAGGGCGGGTCGTGAGAAGCCAGTAAACACGGCTTTGGTTCAGCTATATATGTTCCCCTTACCAGCTTAGCAACATGGACTGGAGCAAGAGTTTCAGAGTGGTTGGTGAGTTATTAATCTGTAACAAATGTATCTTTCATCCATAAAGTTTTAACCAAGCTCTGTCTCTACATCAAGGTAACAACTTTATGTCCATTGACTGCCTGGAGGGTAGCTAATGTTTGGAAGGGAGAGCAGAGGCAGCAGGCGTCACTGTGTATTGCAGCTCAGAGTGTTTTTCCATCTGTCCATTTGCTGTGACGTCACAGGGATCAAAGGGAAAAGGCTGGACTACAATCAAGCTGTTTTCAGGCAGTTCAGAGCAGTGTTTTCTTTGGGAGATGGGAACTCCCTTTGGGGTGGACTTTGGGATTTTTCACTTTGAAAACTTATTACATGCATAAAAAAAGATATAGAACTCAATAAAGGAGAGGGAAAAAGCAAAAAAGCATAATATGACCTCTTTAAAATCACTCAACTGAAGCAGCCCCTTAGATGAGAGGCGAAGCGTTCTCAAGTATCTTCAATCACGTCCAGTTGCCCTTCATTTTCACCTTCCTTGGATAACTATGACCTTGATGACTGAGAATCTTCACACTGAGATAGAGCCATACAAATTTGCGGTGGATAGCCAATATTATGATGACTTTGTCCTTTTCCCTGCAACTTACAACATTACATATTATTACATTACATATTATTGCTGAGTTCAGACTTGACAGGAAGCTTTTCTCAGCAAAACATTTCTTATTACTGGCCTGTGCACTACATATCTACATATACAGAATCCACACAATACAGACAGCGGGGTTCATTTGATCTGCCGTACTTAAGCAAAGGTCTGTCAAAACAATGGCTGCAGCTTGACATCGGAGCCTAACTTATATATGCTGTACAGAGGGCAGCTTGTTGAAATGGTAACAATATATTGTTCCTGGTAATAGTTGCTGTTTTCTGTAAGTAGTGTTGAATAAATATAGCAGTTTTATATAATGTTCTAGATGTTATCTTGTAAATCAGAGATTCATTGTGAACACAAATGTTTATATGTGTCTAGTTTTTTTCAGTTATAACATCAGACAGTACTGTGTGGACTTATTTGCCCTTTATTTTTCGGCTGTCAGGCTACATATAGGCGTCCCTAACCTTCTGGCTGGTGGAACTTGTTGGGGCTATGTAAAGGCTGACAGGAAAATCTGCTAACAGTAGTCTGAACAAACTACTAAAATGTTCTCTGCCTGTTCTCTGGATAAATTGTTTTTAGTAAAGATGCAAAAGCAAACATTATCTATTTTTGTGTCTCTATTGTATTAGTTAAATAATATAGCTATAATATGCTATAATAATTATTAGATAATAGAATAATTATTATAGCATATTATAGCGATACATATTAATTATTATTATTAATTACTTGGTAAAACATTATGACAAATAAGTATAGTAGTTACTGTGTTTTGGCTGTGGGGCAGAGAAGTGATTAAATGCATCAGGTGTCCCTTCTTTGTAGTTTTAATATTATACAATGTTATCTTCAGATTTGGAGCCAGTGTGGGTGCACATGGAGACAATATAACTATTGCTCAATTCACTGTACTGTTGGTGAGAACACCAATAGCTCCTGGATGTTATAAGAAAAAGAATTGAGAATTCAGGATGGAGAAAGAGGGATTAGGACTGGCTGAATAGATTCATCAAAGCAGAGTTCTAAGCCTGGAAAGTCTTTCAAATGTCTGTTGAAATAGAGGAGAGCAGTGGTCCAAAAAAAGGAGGTATATCCCCAGTCACAATGGATTAGCAAACCTCCATTGCTTTGATTAATACTAGCTAACCGTAGTAGGGTTTTAAATCATTGTGTGCCATTTAGAGAACCTGTGAGGTCATTGGAGCCTAGATGATTCACCAACTGCACTATAATATGCATTTTGGTAATTTCATACCTTGAACTGTGTCTATTCTTTTGAAAAGTATGCTAAAAGTAGAAAGCAAATAAGATCAAATGTCAGAAATCTAAAAAACAAAGTGGTGATTTTCTATAAATCTTTTCCTTTTCTTCCTTGCATTTTTCTCCCCAGTGAGTACCACCTCTTCACGCTCTGCACAGAGACGAAGTCCCACATTGTCCACTGCTACTGGCCCAATCCCCTGGTGGAGGGCTTCATCATCCGCATACACAAGCACTTTTTCTCCAACTGCACCATGGAGCCTGTGGTATGGGTGGACCCGCCGGACGACACACTAACCATCCTAATCCTTATCCCTGTTTTCCTCACATTGGCCATGATAGCCCTGGTGGTCTGGTGCAGCAAGAGGAGCGATATCCTGGCTTAGGAGGGGAGGAAGATGCAAGTAGAGGGAGAAGGGAGCGTGAGAAAGACTGAGTTCAAGGTCCCAACCTCTCCACTCAAACAATACTGCACAGATTGGTTTAGTTGGTCAAATTACCCCATTAGTGGTGTTGCAAATCACCTCAACTTCCTGTGGAAATGAGGAAAGTAGTGCCCGGTAGTATTTTCTTGAATATTTAACATATTGTGTAATTTTTCACATTTCTGACACTGACCTACTATCACTGTGCTGTTGCACATCTGATGTAGACTTATTTGCTTTCTTGCATGGTAAATATGTAGTTTACCTTAGCACACTTAGCACTGGAAACTGACTCTGTCCAAGGTTAAAACAATCCACCCACCAGGACCTCTAAAGCTCACTAATTAACACATTATATCATGTTTGTTTAATCCATACAAAAGCAAGTGTAAAATCAACTTGTGGAGCAGTAGTCGGGTACAATACTTTCTTGAGTCACCTTGAGATTCGAGGTATCAAGGTATTTTATTATTATCATTAGACAACACAAGGTTTTACAACGAAATTAAAGTTTATAGTTTATACACACAGAACTGAAATAATTAATTGTATGTACATGTATGGTAACATGTAAAATAAATAAAATAAACCATAAATATTAAATAAATATTATAATATACAGTTATTTATAAACATATATACATATACACATATTTTTGAATTTGCATCTACGATGATGTAAACAGTAGCAAACATAAAAAGTCAGACATATAGGAAACAGTGTCCATTTTGAATGCGTTTGAGTACCAAACATCACCGATGTAAACAAAGAGCTCGCCTCCTCTCATCTTGCTGGTATCTTGTGCTCTTGTGTCAGCTCGGAACGTGATCACAGCACCCACTGTGGAGCCTGGTTCAGTTGATCTGACAGGGTGGATTGTCTCAAGGTCCGCTGCTCTTTTATCCAAACCCTGGCTTCTTTATCTGATGACTCTATTTCTGTCATAGGTAATTTGTGTTTCAGCAATAAATAAAAAATACGATGAAAACCAAAAATGTAGTAGAGTTTGAAGATGCTGAAGGCCCCAGCATCAGTGCGCGGAGCCGTTGCCATAGTCACCATCTTCTGATTCAGTCAATTTTACACAATTATGGCTTAGCCGGTTAAATCAAAATCCAACAGACATCAATCAATGATGTTTCAGCAATAAAGCCCAAAAGAAATAAGATTAAATCAAAAGTGTAGCAAAGTCTTAAGGAGTTTCCAGCCACTGCATTTACATGCGCTGAGCATCAACAGCCAGGAAAGACTCCAGGAAGTAACTGCTGCTGACCAAGGAATAGTACGGCACATAACCCCCCGTAAACCCACATGTCACTTTACACTTTGATTTTTGTATGGATGAAACACACAACACACAAGTTAGTGAGCTTTATAGGTGCCAGTAGGTGGATTTTGTTACCTTTGAACAGAGCCTACAAGCTAACGGTTTCCCCTTGTTTCCAGTCTTTAAGCTAAGCTAAACTAACCAGCTGCTGACTGTTGCTTCTTAAGTAGCTTACAGGCATGAGAGTGGTATCAATCTTTTCATTTAACTCGCGACAAGAAACCGAAAATGCATATTTGTAGAACTGTTCCTTCAAGACACAGAGTCATTTGATGATGTCATCACTTACTGGGTAACTTGACCAGCGGGACAATCTACCAAATCTTGGTGCATCCTTCAAAGCTCATGGATGTGGACCATTGACTCGGAGATTCTTGTCAGAGCACTGTATCATGACTGAAGGCCAAAGTATCTACCAAGCATCAGAGGCAGTGACTGAACTGACTCCAATACCATTTGTTAAATATTTTAACATGATACTCTTTTTGGCTTGGATACAAAGGAAGACACATTTGGACTTAATATTGTCTGTAATATTAATCTACAAGTTTTACCTTACACTGTTGTGCAACCCAAAGACAAGGCAACACTATGATACATATATGTTGGGACTTGAATTTCTTGTGTGACTACCTGAGCCTCAAGGGACTGTTTTATAACAGTGTAACTTATCCGATACTGTTGAATAAAATACTGTTAATACTCACAAAGAGGGATTCTCAATGGAAACAAAAAAATATGAATTGACATTGGGACCTCATACTGTACAGTAATGCTCTCTGTCCGTGCTGTCTACTGTATCTGCATTGCCTCTCCAGTGTTACTCAGACCAATGAGAAATTCACACCGATGTTTTGAAATTATTTCCTTTTGGGAAAGGCTTGATTTAAAGTACGCACTTCATTGGTTCTTTGAACCACAGTCCTCACCAGCCATGAGGGAAACTACCAACCAAGCACTGCTTTATTATTTTCTTCCAAAGCGTAAGGCATCAGCTCTGTCAGCTCTCACCTGCACACTTTCGTCTATGGAAACTTAAACTCCTGAGCAAAAGTACTTTGATTAAATCTCTCTTAAAGTAACTGACAGCTCTCCTTCATTACACGAACAAAGCAAGGACACAGAAAACAACTAACTCAATTTTTGCAATGCAATGTATCTTAGCTAATGTCTGTGAATTGATGTTTATGAATGTTTTGCAAAACTAGAGCCATCTGCTGTCTGTTGCCTTCTGTTTGTTCCACAGTCAGCTACAAAAGTGTATTTCTTTCTTAAAACCAGTGAAAATGTACAAGTCGGATTGCTAGCAACTCAGCCTCTTAAAATTATTCCTTTGGGTAATCTACATCATTTTAAAATAACACAATGTTGAATGATTATGAAATTAACTTATATTATATGATATTTCTACTGTATAATCTATGTAAACAAACAATACCGCCTGGCTATACTGGTCTCCTCATACTGTACTGCTTCATGGCATACAGATTAAAATGGGACATTGATGATCTTCTTCAAGAGGAAACTGTACTAAAGAGATCCTGCCAGGATGTAACAACTTTCTTATCTTATCTGTTGTCAATTAAAGAATCAGATACCAACCTTAGAATTAAGAATCCTTGAGATTTTCGTAAAATCAGACTCCATTTTTGACATTATACTCTACAGCAGCAAGATCTAATAATTTTTAGGGGCAAGGCTTGGCATTTGGTAGTGTCAATTTTCTGAAGGCACAAAGGGTAAATGCCAGGGCGGCAAGTCCATCAAATAAAACAATGCTTTCAAGTCCATGGAAATTATGAATTTATCGTAAGGGTTAAGGTGATGATTTTATTTTTATTCAATTTCTGATTTGTTAATGCTTGACAATAATTATAACCATTCATTAAGAACGCTGGAACACAGTCACAGTTGGGTCAGTTTATATAATGACATCATACTACTTACATACTCAAGTAAGTTTTTACACATCAGCAGAAAGCAAACTTGAATATCAACATACTGTTTTTCAAAGCAGCCAGAGCAACCACACAGTCAACAACCAGGAACAAATACATGAGAACTGCAGGGAGATGAAGAGAGACAGAGAGAGCGAGACAGCGCCTGTACGAGAAAGATATGTGACCTACGACCAGTTCATTAGTTTATAATAACGCAGAGCAGTGACGATACAGACGTTTCATAGAGACGAGCGTATATAATGTGAACATAGACTCCAGTCTGCAGTGTACACCACTGATAAACCACACAACTGTAGAGTAACAATAGGCTTCATGATCATAGAAATTGTTTTATCACGTCGACACTTCTGTCCATATTCACCCCCCCCCCCATTCACATGATCTCTCTTTTGACATTGATGAGCGCATCGACTTTATGTTTCAAGTAATTACAGTACAGCACAAGATGTCAAACTGTCATATGCTCAGATTTTAAAATGCTACTCCCAGTACCTTTAAGACTTAGAGAGTCTAATATTTTCTTTAGTTTTCCACTTCTTTTTAGACTCGATTCTCTGGGGACTTTTTTTAGTTGCAGTGTTTTCGTGTAACCTATTATTGAATCCCCAAAGCTTCAGCACAGCACAGGGTTCATGAGGTGCATCAACCATGATTCAAAACCCTCTCAAAGTTATTTAAAACAAACACTCACATGATCCACATTCAGTCAGTATCATGATTTATCACAAGGTCTACAGGTGTTTCCTCCATGAAACAAATCCTCCCGGAGTTTGTCCACTCTGAAGTCCAGAAGCTGCTCCACCCACCTGAGCAGTCACTGCTTACAAATAAAACCTGCCTGATTAGTTAATTCACCTTTCAATTCATGTTATGTGTCATGTATGTGTATGTGTGTGTGTGTGTGACTAAACATCCATCACTGTAAAAAGGAAATGCAATCATTAAAGGCATGGTAATTTTATCATTTGAAAATCTGCTAAAAAAGCTGGAAGTGCGCCTGTTGTCTCAGTTTGTTATTTCACACTGTGGCAGCACTGGTTTCTGCAGTGATCAGGAGAACAGACCATTTGACAGAAAAACTGGCACAAATACCCAAAGCTGCTGACACATCTAATCTCTGATCTATCCAATCTGCATTGTGCTATAGGAGCGTGAAATTAAGCTTTTCTCAACTTTATTAAGTCGTACATATTCACTTCCATGTTAGCAACATTACCATAAGAACAGTTCACAGCCTCCCAATTTCTATTTCAAATAAAATTTTGTAAGGCTACAGAATGTGACCTGTCCTATTTACAGATTTTTAAAGGCCCTGGTAGTGACAAGTGATCAATTATTCTGTCTGATTAGAAATACATTGGAATCACCACTATCAGTGGATTTGCTAGCGAGGCAAAAATCTACAAAAATCTTTTGAATGGAGTCAAACTTCTGTGACACCCAAATTCATGAAAGTGGAGACTTTTGTGTGAACTGAGAGTCAGTGAGTCCAACATAATGGAAGCTATCATAGCTTATTAACTGCAGCAACTTTTAGTAATTTATTTTACTTACTTGCCTACCTACCCTTATTCAACCCTCTGCCAGCTAAACTGTTCCACAAAATAAGTATGGTTTTTAAACATTAATTAGATGGATTCAATGGTACAGATGTCTGTTGGAAAAACTGGGTTAATTTATTGTCCAAGTTTGCTAACCACAAATTAGCAAAATGCCAGCTATGTACAACAAAAATAAAAAGTGCTAGAACTAGCGGCAGAATGTTCCCAGCTTGCTAACATGCTACCCATAGCTTGTCAACTGCAGTGCTTCAACAACTAGCCGTGCAAGTTACTACCTCACCAGGCCTTTAACATTGTCTTTTTCCGCAAGGAAGAAAAAGAGTGCGATGTTCATGTCATATTGGAGTAAGTTTCCAAGTTGTGAATAGTCAGACTTCTCTGAAAGCTCCAATGTGACCCCTTTACGGAAAGTCCCTCAGAATCAAACAAAACACAGCTTTCTTGTTTCAGCCAAATTTGGTGTGGTTTATTCGGGTTTATTGTTAAAGGACATTGTTTTTAACTCTCACATGACAGTTAATGTATAATAATTGTATAACCATATAACACTCACAGGTTGTAAACCGGACTTCCCATCTCTTCCATCCTTCCCATGTAGCATGAACACTGCATGAGAAGCATGTCAATCAAGTCCAGTTTCTATACACCCATAGACAAGACACAATAAGTGAAAACACCTGTGTAGGTGTACCATAGGTGTGTAGGGCCTTTACAGTATCTAAAATGCTACAACAAAGAAGTTTGGAGTAAAATAAACATACAAAGTGTCATGCTGTTTGGTGTATGTGACCTTAGTGGATTCCATCACTCTGAACTTGAATCATACTCTGAACAGAGCGAATACGACTTCTTTCACACTCTAGAGACAAATGTGCTTTTGGGAAATGCATCGACTTTGTTCAGTCACCACAGAACACTGAGGAGAGTTTACCCGGGCAAGCATGTGTGTGCGTGCATTCAGACTCAGACATTATTCTTTTATTAAGACAACAACATTATCTCAATCTACAAACAGACAGACAGCTGAATCCCTGACAGATATGCTATGTGTCTGTGTAACCTTTGAAACAATACAAACACAACCCAGCCATGCAGTTTCAAATCTTATCATTACATCATGTAAATAAACTCAATGTCAAACAATGCAGTCATCACTGTCAGCGGGTGATTGTCAATGATGTTGATATTGCTGCCGACACTTTGTCTAATCTTCCAGAGTCTGGGCTGGGAAACACAAAGCTTGAAATGACAAACTCAATGACCACAAAACCTTCACAGTATCATTACTGACTCCGCCTAAACAAACAAATGGCAAGATATATGGCAATATTTATTCCATCTGAAACTGTCCAGGAAACAACACAAGTGTTTTTTGTTTCTTTGGAGAGGCTAAACAACAGGGTTTAGAGACACAAACAGAGGAGACAATAGTTCAGTCTGCGGTGAAGGGACACATCGCAGTGCAGTTGCCCTCAAGGATGGCTATTCACAACGCCTCCACAGCTTGAATCTAGGAGGCAGGAAGGATATTAAAGCTTTTTCCCAGAGTTGACAGAAGAATACAGGGAAGTGGGTTGACCCAGCGGGTTTGACCAAAAGCAGTGCAGGAAGTGCGAGAGTGCCATGCTTCCACACAGAGATACACTGTTGTGACGGGGGAATTGCTGGCAATGCACAGAGCACTGTGTCTGAAATGCGGCTCCTCAAGGTTTCTAGCATTGCATTGTAGTTATTTTTGCTAGCATTATAATATTGACACTACTTAATATTTTTTTCAAACATACACTTGGCTAGAAGTTAAATGTGTAAGATCTGACCAGAAGTTTAGTTTAAAGTATTCAGAAGATGAACTAACATGAAGTAGAAGTTTTGACGTTTGGTAAAAAATATCTATGTATTGTGTTGTAGGCCCTGCGATGGACTGGCGACCTGTCCAGGGTGTACCCCTTTCGCCTGATGTCAGCTGGGATTGGCTCCAGCCCCTCTGTATGCAGGATAAGCGGTTGACGATGGATGGATGAATGGATTGTGTTGTAGAGATATCTACTGAAGTTAACATGATAACGAGCTAGCCCCTGCCCCTCCACTTTGTACCTCAAGACATGATAGCCCAATAGTATAGCTCAGGTCTACCCCCCATCCCACCTCATAAAACAGAAAAAATACAACCGTATACCTTCTGAATTCAAGTTTCTCTCCTCACTGAACTTCAGGTATATTCAACCAACTCAAGTTGCCCTTGATTTTTAAACTTCCTTGGACTCACTGAACTAATGGCATTGTAATTGTCATCATAAAACATGACAGAAACAAAGTCACACTCACCAAAACCGTTAGTTAGTCTTTCAAATTTTCTAACAGTCACCAATTCTGGTTTAGTTGAACTAAACCCTTAATTCACTGAGTTAGATGTGAAAATATTCTAACTCTACACACTGTCGCTGCCTCTCTGATGCCAGACCTCCTGTTGTTCCATTGTCAATATGTCTATATTTTGTCAATATGTCTATATTGTTTTTGTTAGTGTGTATATTTGTGTTGTCTACACTGAAGTCTGTGTCTGATTTTTATTTTATTTTGTTATTGTGATTTTGTATTTTTGTACGAGTAAGCTGTTTTGTCCACAACCCAAATATATTCAGTTACTGTCACAGAAGAGTAAAGAAACCAGAAAAAAATATTCACATTTAAGAAGCTGGATTCAGATAATATTGACCTCTTTTTTCTTTAAAAAAACGACTCAATTCTTGATTCAATTCAATTCCATTCTCAAAATAGTTGCTGATTAATTTAATAGTTGAAAAATAATTGATTAATAGTTGCAGCTCTACTTGACGCCTCTCCTAAACCAACATCGCCCCCAGGGTCAGAGTCCGGGTGGGAGCTGCTATAAATCGCCTCAATGCTGTATTTCCTGTCATCTAACTGGCCTCCGTCTGTCTCGGAGGCTGCTCTGAGTTATAACACAACAAAGGTTAGAACAGAAGAAACGTTGAATCCTGCACCTCCCTGAGGTCTGTCTTGGCCCAGACCTTTGTCATCTTCCCTGAAACAAGACTGCCGGACCAGCTAGACACCTCATCCACTATCTGAACTGCTCTCAAGGAGTGAAAACTACAACTCCTGCTGCAACGCCAGCGGGAATGTCTTATCTCTGCCTGCGCTTCAAAACAATAGGCTGAATCATGTTTTTTGCTGTGATAAAGGGATGATGTCTAAAACAGTATGTTAATTCCCTTTTAGAGAAGTTAAGTTCTCTAGCATTAAGTTAGCGTCTTACCATTTTGTTTTCACCATAACATCACATACTTCACATCATTATTGCTAACAAAATCAGCTTTGGTATGTCACAATATCTGCTATTCACGTTTATCTTTTTTTGTGATTTCTTTGAAACAGAGGACAAAGTTAATCTATCAAAATAATTCAATACCTTCTTAAGAGATTGATCATATTAATATCTATTAATCAACTCAGTAGGTGACTTCACTGATGGGTTGCTCATTTCTACCTGAAAGAGCACTAATCAGTGAAATCAGCTTTATTTATAAGAGTATTTGGCCCTTGACCCTTGGTGTCATCTTGGGGCTTCATCTGTAGTAACCTGTGGCTCTGTTTGCTCTGCAGGTGGCTGATTGGGGTGACATGAACACCTGTGGTGCCCAGAGTGTTCTCGAGTACCTAAGTCCTGCCTGCAGAACACTCTCTCTCTCTCTTTGCTCCTTCCCACAGACACACCACATCTTTGCTTTGTTAGGTTCTGAGTTTTATTGATGTTTTTGACACTCATGCACCTCACACACCACTGATTTACTGATTTCCACATCCCATGTAGAGTATCTTTACTTTGGTTTAGTCTAATTTGGTAAAAGTGGATGAATAAAATACTTTCTGTGAACGACTTATCTTGGTGTATCACCCTTACGTTATGGTCACTTGATCCAGGTCATAACAACATGCAACAAACTGTATAATATTAGTGAGGATGTAGAGTAGTGGTAAGCAAATAGGGACCTGAAGGCCAAATCTGGTCCCCTGATGAAAGCATAGGGGTAACTATGCTATGAAGGTCATCGCTATAATGACTTATGCATATATTTATAACACGATATAATGTGTCCATAAGACATTATAACAGTTGTTATAATCACTTACAAACATGCATTAGGCGCTATAGCAAAGTTCATAACGTATTATGAACTTTTGATTTAATGTTTTATAACTAATAGTAATACCAGTTTATGTCAATGTGCGGCAAGAATCTCCGACCATGTTCCATAACACATTATAACCACCTGTATCTGCCTCACGATGACCTTCATAGAAAGTGTTACCAGCATAGGTTTTCACTTCAATAGTTTATCTCTAAACTTGGAAATGATTTTCCATAACTCTGCTGTAGCTAACAATATAAACAATTGTTATATAA